AAATTCAACAACTTTAATAATATTAACAAATTTAATGATAGTTATAATCATTTCCCACATTATTTCTTTAAAAAAAGATGCAAAAAAAGATATAAATTTCACCATCTTTACATACAACTTTCCTCTTACTTTCTAATCTGCTTTACTCTCAATTTTACAATAGATAATATAATTTTTTTTTATAATTTTTAAAAAACTTTAATAGGTTGAATTTTTTTAATAAATTAAAGCTATAATAATTCATTGATAACATCTTATATTTATTTTTTAATTAATTACTATTTAAATAAGTAATTTTAATTAATATATATTGTAATTCTCTTTTTAAAATACAAGAAACTAAAAATAAACTCATTAAATGATATTTTAAAAAAATTAAACAAATAAATTTAAATACTTCAAATTAAAAATTAAAATTATTAAAATTAAATAAAAGATATAATTTTTACATATTGCTAAATAACTATATATAATATTAGTATATGTTTTAACAAAATAAATAAATAATTATTAAATAATTATAATATACAAAAGTTATCCCTCAATCAATTCTCATTAGCAATCTATGTCCAAAGGGGAGAGGTGAAAGTGTGAAACCATCTCGACGCCATGCAAAAGAGAAAATAAAAGTAATAATAAGGATGATGAAAAATTAAAATTAATAATTAATAATGTGATATAAATTATAAAATTAAATAAGTTAAGAAAAAAATATATATTAATTTTAATTTTGAAAAAAATTAAAATTTTTATCTTAACTTCAGTTATTTTATTTAATTAAAACTTAATTTAAAATTTAAAATATTTATTTTATTAAATATTGATATTTAAATATAAAAATTGATTAAAATTTTAAATTTTAATTCTAATTTTTAAATATAAATTAATATTTTAATTTTTTTAAAACCATAACTAATATATCCTCACATCACAAATTAATATATAAACATTATTAATCTTTAAAAAATTAAAAAAAATTAATAATTAAATAATAAACTACTTTATTGGTCTTTGGTTCCAAAACTTTCCAACCCCTTTATTGTAATTCAAACGAAAATGTCAAACAGTTGAAAAAAAGCTTGTTTAGTAGAATTTCTTCGAATATTTAATTTTTTAATATTATTTATGAATTATAAATTTTTATCTTTATTTTAAAAAATTAAAAATTATTTTTAAGATTAATAAGAAGTGAGTAAAAAAAATTTATAAAAAATATATTTATTATACTTTTTACTTATATTT